GTGTTAGCCAGGCTGGTCTCGATCTCCTGACCTCGTGATCCGCCCGTCTCGGCCTCCCAAAGTGCTGGGATTACAGGCTTGAGCCACCGCGCCCGGCCTTGATTTATTTTTGAAACAGAGTCTTGCTCTGTCCCCCAGGCTGGAGTGCAGTGGTGCAATCTTGGCTCACTGTAACCTCCACCTCCCGGGTTCAAGCGATTCTCCTGCCTCAACCTCCTGAGTAGCTGGGATTACAGGCACCCACCACCACGCCCAGCTAATTTTTCTGATTTTAGTAGAGACGGGTTCGCCATGTTGGTCAGGCTGGTTCGAACTCCTGGCCTCAGGTGATCCACCCACCTCGGCCTCCCAAAGTGCTGGGATTGCAGGCATGAGCCGCCATCCTGGCCGGCTTTCTGTTATTACAAAGACATCAGCCAGTGGGTTTAGTGCCCACCCTAATGCCAGGCTGGTCTCATGTACAGATCCTTGCTTTCCTTACACCTGCAAAGACCTATTTCCAAATAAGGTCACAGGTACCAGGGATGAGGACTTGGACATACCTTTTTGGGGACATTATTCAGCGCAGTCCACCTGTTCTGTGAAGTTGTGTGAACTCCTGGTATTTTAACCCAGAAAATTGTGTCCCATCAACTCTGCCCTCTCCTAGCCCCTCTACCCAAGGTCTTACAGCCTCCTGCAGATGGCAGTTAAGGTGCCAGGCACTTGCCTGAGCTGGGCCCTGCCTCAAACTGCCCTAGCTGAGGTCCAACCGGCAAAGAGAGGGGCTGGGCTCCTTCCAGGAACCCCACCAACAGGCCACCCTCCCTTCTTCCCCCACCAGGCCTCACACTCCCCGACCTGCCTGAGCAGTTCTCCCCACCCGATGTGGCGCCCCCTCTTCTGGTGAAGCTTGTGGAGGCCATTGAAAGGACAGGTGAGTTCCAGTCTGGCTGCAGCCCCTGGATTCTGCTTGCTTACCTCTAGTGACAGGCGACTCATGCCCTCACAGGGCCTCCAAGCTCATGCTGCATGGAAACAGGCCGAGCCTGGATGCCCTGGGCCTCTGTGTTGACTAGGGCACAGAGTGACTCCTAAGGGAAGATGGGAAGGTGAACACGACCAGGCCACTGCATGTGCTGTGCCCTCTCCCAGCTCTCCCTCCCCACCCCTCCCATGCCCTTATCTCTGGGCGGCAAAGCGAGACTGCAGGGGATTTGAGCGGCCAGCCCAGACTTCAAGGGGGTTGGGGCAGCATTTGAGAGCTGACTTGCCTGTTCCCCTCACCCCCAGGGCTGGACAGCGAATCTCACTACCGGCCGGAGCTGCCCACACCGCGTACAGGTGAAGGGGAGCCTCAATGGGGTGGGGGGGGGAGCCTGGGGGCCGCAGTATACGTGAGTTGGACATGTCCCCCCTCACTGCACCCGCAGACTGGACCCTGAGCGACGTGGACCAGTGGGACACGACCGCCTTGGCTGACGGCATTAAGAGCTTCCTTCTGGCACTGCCCGCACCGCTCGTGACCCCCGAGGCCTCGGCTGAGGCGCGCAGAGCCCTGCGGGGTGAGCCTGGCGATGAGCCCAGGGGAAGGAGGGACCTGTAGCGGGCGGGAGGGCCCAGGCCC